TGTAGATATTTACCCTTTTTCAAAATACCATTCAGAGCACTGCACTGAATACAACATAACATTAAAACAAACTATGATGACAACGACAACAACAGTAACAACAAACCAGCAACAAAAGGAAAGCGCTTCCTACTTGTCTTTTTGCTCTGTTAATAGTTTCTTTTGCTGTGTTTTTTTTTTCTTTTTAGTTTGATATAATCCCATTTGTTTATTTTTCCTTTGGTTGCCTGTNCTTTAACTTCTTCTGTCATTGAAATCTCATTTATCATATTTTCACCTCACCTCCTCACCCCCTTCCTTATCAACATCTGAAATTCTTTCTCTTTAGTTCTCTTTATTATTTATCTCTTGTCACGAGGCTATGTATGCACTGTGAAAGCAGAGTCTTAGTCACAGCTGAGTGTGTCTCTATCACCTAGAACAGTACCCATTATGTAGTAAGTTCTTCCAAATAACATGTCATGGAAATATCTACCTACTAATGAGGGACTTCCGAAATCTCATCAGATGAGAAGAAAGCAAAAGACTACTAGGAAAATTAATTTAGAGAAAATTAAGAGTTACAACTTTACTCTGCGTTCTTCTTCAACTATCAAATGGAAATTTAAAGACTAACAAGCTAAACAAAGTTCTGTGATGTCTCAATGTAGATATTTACCCTTTTTCAAAATACCATTCAGAGCACTGCACTGAATACAACATAACATTAAAACAAACTATGATGACAACGACAACAACAGTAACAACAAACCAGCAACAAAAGGAAAGTGCTTCCTACTTTTCTCCCTGAGCAGGCATGAATTCTTTTGCTCTATTCAACCTCTGGCGCAGGTAACTGAATGTGCTGTCTTCCCCTTTCTCTCTCACAATGCATGTCTACTCGATCAGTACATTTTATCAAGTGTATTTTCAAAATATATTTAGAATACAACCACTTCTCAGTATCTCTACTGTAACCACCCAAAGCACCATCCTCTCTCACCTGGATTTTTCATTAGTTCCTGATGGTTCTCCTTGGTTCAACTCTTGACCCACTTCAGTACATTTTCCACATAATGGCCCAAGTCACTTGTTTATTTATTTATTTTATTTTCATTTATCAGTATACAATATAGTTGATTTTCGTGTCCCTTTACCAATTCTGCCTTTTCCTCCCTCCCGCTCCACCTTCCCCCCCTGCAGTCAACATCTAATCTGTTCACATGTCTTAACAAGTTCAAGGAATTGTGATTGTTGTGTCTTCTTTTTCCTCCCTCAGTTCATTTGTATATTTACTTATTTATTTTTTATTTTTATTAGCTGTCTCACAAATAAGTGAGAACATGTGTTATTTCTCTTTCTGTGCTTGGCTTATTTCACTTAATATAATTTTCTCTAAGTCCATCCATGTTGCTGCAAAAAATGGTAGTATTTCTTTTTTTTTTTTTTTATACCATAGTAGTATTCCTTTGTGTAGATATACCACATTTTCCTTATCCACTCATCCGATCATGGGCATTTGGGCTGGTTCCAACTCTTGACTTTTGTAAATAGCACTGCAATAAACATGGGAGTACAGTTATCCCTTTGACTTGATTATTTCCATTCCTGTGGGTATATTCCCAGCAGTGGAATAGCTGGGTCATATAGTAGATTTATCTGTGATTGTTTGAGGAACCTCCATACCATTTTCCATAAAGACTGCACCATTTTGCAGTCCAACAAACAGTGTAGGAGGATTCCTTTTTCTCCCCATCTTCACCAGCATTTGTCATTCTCAGTCTTTTGGATATTAGCCATCCCAACTGGAGTGAGATGGTATCTCAAAGAGGTTTTTATCTGCATTTCCTGAATGGAGAGTGATGTTGAGCATTTTTTCATGTGTCTGTTATATATCTTCCTTTGAGAAATGCCTATTCTGCTCCTTTGCCCATTTTTTAATTGGGTTACTTGGTTTTTTGCTGTTAAGTTGTTTGAGTTTTTTGTACATTCTGGTTATTAATCCTTTGTCAGATGTACATTTTGCAAATATTTTCTTCCACTCTGTTGGTTGTCTTTTTGCTCTGTTAATAGTTTCTTTTGCTGTGCTTTTTTTTTTTTTCTTTTTAGTTTGATATAATCCCATTTGTTTATTTTTCCTTTGGTTGCCTGTGCTTTTGGGGTCATATTCATACAGTCTGTACCCAATCCTACTTCCTGGAGTGTTTCCCCTATGTTTTCTTTAAGGAGTTTTATTGTTTCAAGATGTATTTTTAATTCTTTAATCGATTTTGAGTTGATTTTGGTATATAGTGAGAGGTACGGGTCTAGTTTCATTCTCCTACATATGAGTGTCCAATTTTCCCCGCACCATTTACTTCAAGTCATTTATTTAAAACCTAAGTCAAATGTCATGTCTCTGCTTGAGATGCTCCAGGTTTTCCCATCTCATTCAGAGCAAAAGCCAAACTCTTTGCAGTGGCCTGTAAGGACCTACCTTATTTGTTTTCCTTCTAACTTTCTGACCTATATCCTGACACTTGCTCTCTCTCTCTTCCCTTGCTTTTCTTTGAATTTGTGAAGAATATCTCCACTCCAAGGCCTTTCACCTGCCATGTCTTCTTCCAGAACACTCCTCACCCCACTTAATTTCCGCTTGGTTTGCCTCATTTCCTTTGTATATAATGAGTAATATTTACTATAAATGGTCAATATAAATATGTTCTAGAATATTTATTGGAAAATAGTGAACACCTTATTTAAATGTGTGGTCTAGAATAGAATTAAGAGAATGGATTTTCAGAATGTTTGAGTTGAAAAATCAGCTTTGCCATTTAGAAGCTTTTCTCTAAATTCCAATAAATCTTTACTTATTTTTTTGAAGAAAGGTATAAATGCTCATCTCATTGGGTTACTCAGAGGGTTAAATATGATATTGTGAAGTGCCTGCTTGGCTCATAGTAAATGCTCAATTAATACCATTATTAGCATAATTCCTGCCTAACATTTGTAATAATCTTGACATAGTTAAAGCTGGGTTAAAATACAATCTGCATATTATTTTTTTCACTGGAAAGTACATTTTAAAAGTATTTTTTTCATGCTGATAAATAGCTTTAAAATGGCAGAATAATTTTGAATCCTGTACGTACAATGACATGCAGTACAGACATCATAATTTAGCTATCACCTCATCATTACGAATTGTTTAGCTTCCAAATCTCTTTTCTGATTGCAGTATAATAAAAGTTCTCCTGGGGCCGGCCCGGTGGCACACTGCTACAGTGCGCCGCTTGGGAGCGCGGTGGCGCTCCC